GGAGATCTACGAGCAGAATCCAACTCGGATTCGAACCAGGAACACCTGTGCAATGTTTGAGTTCATTGTTAAGCTGATCCACAGCAGCCAATCAGTCAGTACTTGGCAAAGATAGAAAGAGAGAGAGAGAGAGAGAGAGAGAGAGAGAGAGAGAGAGAGAGAGAGAGAAAATAATAAATAGGCGTCGAATGGTAATCGACATATCGACACTACATTGCAAATGTGAGAAGAAAACAGGTAAAATCGTGACTGGCGAAAGTGGGGCGAAAACTGGTACTGAAACGAAGATGTGGGATGAAAACGGGTACTGAAACGAAGATGTGGGACGAAAACGGGTACTGAAACGAAGATGTGGGGCGAAAACGGGTACATGTACAGCTGTAATTTTGAGCTGACAAGAACTTACTTGCAACGCATCCCCCACGGCTCCCAAAAAGCCATTTCCTTTCGCTTCGTCACCCTCGTCGTCTGCGTCCAAAGAGGTTACCAGGTGCATGCTAATTTTAGACAGCAAGCGATAATGACTGGTCAGAAAAGACTCCGACTTTATCCCAATGAGATCCTCCTCTGATATGTTCTCTCCTCTGTGAACGGAGAAATCAGTTTTCTTTTATTTGTGGATGCAGTCAATTATATTTCATGTACTTGTAATTACTGTGTGTGTTGTTGTTGTTGTTTTTGCTGTTGTTGTTGTTGTTGTTGTTGTTGTTGTTGTTGTTGTTGTCGTTGTTGTTGTTTTTGTTATTGTTGTTGTTGTATTTGTCGTTGTTGTTGTTGCTGTTGTTGTTGTTGCTGTTGTTGTTGTTGTTGGTTTTGTCTGTTTGTTTTTTATCTTTGCTTTTCTGTTTGTTATCTTATATTGATCATAACTAAGTTGTAGTTGCTGTCGCTGTTGGTTTGTTTTCTAACGGGGAGTAATCTTCATAAAATATATTGAAAATAATTTATTTCATAATAATAATTTCATTATTGGCACGGACACTGTTCTTTTTCTTATATGCAGAAGTGAACTGTTAATTATTGTTTATCTGATGCGGTTGTTATTGTTGTTTATCTTTTTGTTATTAGTATTCTTCCTGTTGTTATA